GGGCTGGGGATGTGGCTCAGTGGTAAAGTGTCTGCCTGGCATGCACCAGGCCCTGGGTTTAAACCCCAGTAATGGGGGGAATAATCCTAATGAGATACCACCTCACTCCATCCAGGACACCATGATGAACAAGATACACCATGACCACTGCTGGGGACATATGGAAAGACCAAGCCTTCAGACACTGCCAGTGGGAACAGCAACACTCCAGCAGCTACAGAAAATGGTTCAACATCCCCACAAGTGACACACTCAATTAGCATAGGACCCAGACAACCCACTTCTAGGTCTATACCCAGAGGAACCAGGAACAGGAATCCCAGCCAAAATTGTATGTAGGGGCTGGGAATGTGGCCAAGTGGTAGTGCGCTCGCCTGGCATGCACGAAGCGCTGGGTTCAATCCTCAGCACCACATAAAAATAAAGAAAAGATGTTGTGTCCACCAAAAACTAAAAAATAAATAAATAAGTATTTTAAAAAATTGTATGTGCCTGCTCGGGCAGCACTATTTACACAGCCAACAGACAGAGATCACCTGTGCCCATCCACAGGTGAATGGGTAAACAGAACGTGGTGTCAACAATGGTGGCATATTCCTACCACGGAATGGCTTCTGGCAGTGAAAAGAAAGGACACGTTCCTACATGCCAAGCACAAGTGAAAACCTGCTGAATGGAATAAGGCAGCCAAGAGAGCCAGGGCTTCCCTTCACGGGAAATAACCAGGGAGGCAAATGCAGACACCCAGAGCAGAGCTGTGCTCACCAGAAGCTGGGAAAGAGCAAGAGGGGGGACAGGTCGGTGGGGTTTTAGCTGGGGAGGATGAAAGTTCTGGAACTAGACAGTGGTAATGGTTGCACAATCCCGCGGATGTACTCAATATCACGGAACTGCACAATTTAAAAAAGGTAAATGGAAAAATTTTAAATGATACAACCTAAAATGGTAAATTTGGGCTGGTGATATTTTTTAAAGATAAAGGGATTGCCTATCATGTGCACAGCCCTGGAATCAATCCCAAATATGGAGGCAAATAAAAGGAAAAACACAAATTTTACTTTATGTATAGATGTTATCAAAATAAGGTAACAACAGGAAAATGATGTCATTGTGAGCTCCATATATACACCTCCATGTATGTGGGTATACCTATACATACACACATACAATGGAATATGTGAATATATGCATATTCCTGTACCCTGAGACAATTTTTAGTTTATAGAGAAATAAAAATCTGTATTAGGAAATTAAAAAAAGAGGAGCAGGCCCTGGACGAGTTCAGGCCACCATCAAGTGTCTCCCAGTCTCTCCTCTGAGGGAGAGAAGCTTCCTGGTTCTCACAGCCCACATGGGCCCCTCTGCTTCATTAACGGCAAACAGTGGTCATCTCCAGGCCCGTGGACCTGGGCAGCGCCCTGGGCCCTGAGCCCAAGGGAAACTTCGGGAGCTTAACACAGCTCAGGAATGTCCCCGTGGAGGGTGTGAATCTGCTGGTGTGGGTTTGGTGTGAGAACAGCAGAGCCCACTCTTTGTCACCCTCTCAGAAGACCGGGGAAGCCAGGATGTCAGGGTGGAGGAGCAATGAAAGTGTGGGCGCTTTTCCCGTCCCTGGCTTGCTGGGTCCAGGACCCCAGTCTTATCACAGAGCCACAGGCAGGAGGAGCTGTGCTCCTAGGGTCCCTACGGGAGACAGGTGGACAGGTTTGGAGGACATGGAGAGGCCTCTGCACTCCTCCATGGACACTCCACTGACAGCTCAGGCTCTCACCCAGGGACACAGGACAGCTGGGAGCAGCGCACAGACACGGGAGGACACCTGGGAGAGGACAGGTGTCAACAGGAAGGGGGACGACAACCGGCTCTCCTTGGGGAGGGCTTTCTCTGCTGCTGCTCTGGTTTTGTTTTTTTGTGGTTTGTTTTGTTTGTTTAATAAATTTACATACAAAAGGAATTTACTATTAAAAAATCCCCAAAGCCTCATACTAGAAATTCCAAAAAGAGTCTGGTACCAACATCTTCCCCATCTCCCTACAGCTCTGAAGGAGGACATAATGTCCTGGACCATCCCAGCACACAGAGGTGGCTCCTCAGAGGGATCTGGAGCCACCAAGTTCAATATGAGTCCCCCTGGGAGAAACTGGTCCGACCTATGGAGCCTGATGGGCTCTTTCACCTAGTGGGGTATAGATTTGGGCCTCAAACAACCATTGTTCCCCTACACACAAAAAGCAAGCTGAGGGTGAACCCCGCACATGGAAACAGTGTGCCTAAGACACTCGAGGGGAACAGGCACCTCAGGAACTTCTGGATCTAGCTCTACCTGGAGCCCCTGATCTATAAGTATGCATCTTACACAAGTGAGTCAACAAATTCTCTCTAGCTGAGTTTGAGTTGGGCTCCCGTCACTTGACAGCAAAAGCATCCTGACTCAGATCCCTTTTACAGCACAATGCACAACAGCTGGGTGAAGGGAGCCCTTCACAATAGAAGAGGTGGTAAGCAGCCAGAGACTTCATGCAAAGTCCAAGAATCCCCCAAATCTGAGCTGTCACTTAGAGTTCAAAGCCTTGACTTAGTCAAAAGTGCTTACCAGGGGGAGTAGTTGTTGGATGCCACCAATCTGAAATGGAAATGGAAAACCAAGTCAGATTAGAGGGCAAAGGATGTGGAGCCAAGGTTACACTTAATTCAAAAATGCTTACCGTAGTAAGGAGTTGTTGTAGTCCACCAATCTGGAAAGGAAAACAAGATCAGATTAGGAAGCAGGGGGTGTGAGGTCAAGGTTGAACTTAATCCAAAAATGCTTACCATAGATGGGAGTTGTTCTAGGCCACCAACCTGGGAAGGAAGACAAAGCCACCTTAGAAGGGCAGGGGGTGTGAAGTGGAGGTTGGGGAGGGACCTGGTGCTGGAATCAGGCACAGGTGGTCAGAGAAGCTCTGTGCCTGGGGGAGAACAAGCCTTACTAGAGAGCCTCAGTGAGCAAGACCATGACCTGAATCACCTCCACCATGGCAATGAGGTACACAGTCCCAGGGGAAGCTACAAGCTTTTCTAAAGGATGGCTCTCTGGTTAAAAGTATTTCTCTGTACATGCCTGAGGTATATGACATGAAAAATCCCTGTGCTCCCCTCCCACACGAGTCTTGGCCAGAGGAGGTGTTCCAGGAGCAGTGGCCCAGGAACCGCCTGACTGCTCCTCAACACTCAGGTCAGAGCTGGCACTGTCCTGTCCCTCCAGGCTAGGAAGGAGGATGAACACTCTGTGGGCTCTGCTGCTAGAACACTCCATAGACCCTCTCAGAGCTACCAGCTGGAGCTGTGAATAGGAGCAAGGAGTGAGGGTCACCTAGAAGTGAGGAGGCAGATGGACTCACCTGGGGTGGGAGTCTCTGTGGAAGACGGGACATCTGTGGGAGAGAGAAGGTTGGATCCAATGTATTACACAGGAGGAGGCAAAACTGGGACTCAGGTGGAAGATAAGGAGCAGGTCAGGCATTCATTCATGCTGGTCCCTTCCCTCAAAGGGGGAGCTGATTGCCCAAAGGATGCTCCTTGGAGGTGTCCAGGCAGATCCTGTCCTCCTTCAGCCTCAAGGGGAGGGAGACACTGTCTAGATGTGGTGGTTGAGCTGAACCCACTCTTCCTCCACCTTGTGGCTTTTAGCCACTGACTCAGTAAAGCAGGGCCCCAGAACACAGGTCAGTCATGCACATGTGCCCATCTGCAGTCATAGCCCAGGAGCCTCCCGATGGACCACCCCACAGGGGTGGCCTCAGCTGAAGACCTCCCTTCCCAGTGGAGCATTTGGATGCAGATGTGGCTCAGTGAGCAGGTGCCTCCCTCACCCGCTGTGCTGCATCCCCCTCACCCTCACCCTGTCCCCTTCAGTGGGGTAAAGGAACCCAGGAGCGGAGGAGGGGATATGGGGCTTTTCTCCTTGACTCTTATTTACACTTCTTCAAGGTGTGTAAGGTCTTGATTTCACAGTTTATTAAGAACCCAGACCAGGAGCTAAACTGCAAGACCAAACCCGATTATCAGCAAAGAACTAAAGTGACTTCCAATAAATGGGAAAAGCACAAAAACCATCACATGAGGACACTAACATGTCAGAAAGTCTCTCTAAGAGCAAAGCCCCCCAAGAAAGAGGGAGGACAAGTTGAGGGTGGAACAGGATGCCCCAATGTGAGGCAGGACAGAGGGACCAAGTGAGTTGACTCCAGGGACAGAAGTCCCCTGAGTCCTGACTGAAACCCGCATCAACTGCTCATGTAGAAGATACTGGAAGTTCACTGGAAGTTCTTTCTTATGTTCAAGCATGAAGTTGTTCACCTGCGAATAAGAACTCCTCCGTCTCCCCCATCATCGTGGGTCGGGTGGGTGCCCCTGCTCAGTGGCTATCTGCATTGATGTCACACTTCAGAAATCTGAGCTTTGTCTCTGCTGGTCTCCAGGACTCAGGGTTTAAAGCAGATATCTACAGCATAGCTTTGGCCCTGGCCTAAGGCACTCTCTCTTAGTCATGGAATCACAGAAGAGGGGCCAGGCAGAGGCCTATTGGTTTAAAACTTGTGATTCTCCTTACAGGTGCCACTGACAAGGCACAATGTCAGCGTGGCCTAGAGGCTCAGCCATTGCTGTAGGAATCTTCTAAAAGGGAAGGACCTTCAGTAGGGAGCAGGGCTCAAATATCCACCATTCCAGCCTCCCTCCTCCATTCCCCCAGGAAACTGCTTTACAGAAAGTGGAGGAGAGCAACCACGCTTCCATCCTTCTGCGAAGACTATTCAAGAAATCAGTGGAGAGAAATGAAAGAAATACCCACTTGAAGACAAAATGGACCACCCAAACGTGCAAGGCAGTCTGCTTAAGGACATAACTCAGAATTTTTATATTATATTCACACGCCAAGGTACCATGCCCACAGACATGAAGTCTGGAAAAATGCATGGGACCAAAAATACATCTCTGCACATGGAAAAATTGCTAGCATGATTTAACGTATGTGCAAAATGGGTTTCTCTGCCTCCCCAGGAGCCCTGCATCACAGAGTGAACTAGGAGGGACAGAGCCCAGGCTGGGATCCAAGGTCACATGTCAGAGGCTAAAACTTCATGTGAAGGTGCAGCAGCCGAGATGCCACATCAACCCAGGGCTCCCCTTCTCCACATCTGCCAGGAGCAGAAAACTTTGGCAGGACACTCAGCACTTTGGCACAGAGGAGGCACTGGGTGGCATCGGGGATGGGGCTGGCCAACCAGGACTGCTGGGAGTCCCACAATCTCTGCCTAAGACCATGGACACAACCTGTCCCCAGGAAGGGTCTCAGTGCTCTCACTATCACTGGGACACAGGAGGCATCTCACGTGGACAGCTGGGGAGAGGCAGAGACATGGCCCAGAAAGTTCCAGGGGAGCACAGCAGTTCCTGGGGGTGGGTTTCACACTAACCAACCTGGCCTCCCACGGGCACTCTCTTTACAAGGGCAGCCCCTGTCCACTCCCACACCCACCCCAAAGTGGGTGAAGATTCCTCGTCTCCCTTCTCCCAGGGTCTCCCCAGTTGACCATCCTGAGGAGAATGACCACGGCAGCCCTGACCTCCCATCTCCAGCAGTTCTGAGGGTCTGGAGAGTCCTATCTGTGGACTGCAGGGGCCTGGGGCAGGGCCTCCCCCTTAAGCTCTCTTGCTCAGGCAGGTGGCCCCACAGGTGGCACCTCAGCTGGTGCCATGACACACCCCAGAGTTCCCTGGGAAATGGCCACTGTGGAAAGCCAATGCCCTTCTGTATGTCTGCAGACCCACAGCAAAGGGGGCACTGGGACCAACTGATGGGCCAGTTAGAATGACACCTTGGGCCAGGTGACCCTGTGGACCAAGGAGGAGGGGAGGGGACAGTCAGTGAGACAGGGACGTGTCAGAGAGCAGCACTCACAGGACGGGCAGTGGAGGGGCTCCTCAGGGAGGGGAGGTGCAGGGCAGCAGGGACCTCCTGGGGCCCTTGTGAGCAGGCCTCACCCAGCCTGAGGGGCAGTTCCCAGCCCAGGGGGTCCTTCTCAAGCTCAGCCTGACATCACTCCTTCCAGCACACATCCCATGGGTGCCACCTGTCTGATCAAGGGGAGAACCACAGCGTCCCCACCCAGGAGCCAGGGCTCACACATGAAGAGCAAGGCCAGGGCTCTGATCAGAGTCCATTCACGAGGTGAGAGTCCAGTGGGGCCAGAAGCTCACCTGAGCAGATGACTCCTGCGTCCTCGTGGTGTCCACAGTTATGGGAGAGCCAACCTCGGTGGCCGCAGTTCCACAGGGAGGACTCATGCCCAGAGCAGGCCACATCATCCAGGACAATTGGCCCTGAGCCCTGACCAAACCGGGCATTCCCTGGGGCAGACACAGCCCAGCCACAGCCCAGCTGCCTGCAGACCACGTTGGCATCGTTGGTGTCCCAGCCGTCATCGCACACGGTGCCCCAGGAGCCGCCGTACAGGACCTCCACACGTCCCTGGCATCGGTTTCCACCATTCACCAGCCTCAAGGCCAATCCAGATATAGTTCCTAGAGAAAACACATGATTTCTCATTCCATGCTGTTCCGTAATGGCCAAGGTTGTGTAGTTGTATGCAGACAATACCACTTCCCAGGGGCCAAGCTCCATTGTGAAATTTGAAGCTCACTCACATCCTGGGCCTTGGACACCTTGCCCTGTAAAGGTCCGCCCTGTGACACCTCATTCCCCTGACCTCATTGGGATGCACATTCCAGTTCCATAGTCCTTTGACGTGAGAATGGCCATTGCTCTGTCAACTGCCATGACCTGTGCAGAGTCTGCCCTAGATTTTAGCCAACCTTGCCACCAAGGCCTTCAAGTACAGATGACCCAGCCAGTTGGATCCCCAGGGACATCAAAGGCTGGAGATGACTTAGAGCAGGACCTCCTAAAACAGGACATCAGTCCCACCCTCATATACCTGGAGACTTTTCTGGAAGATCATCTTATTCTGATCTTTCTAACCCCACGTTTTGTTTTGATTCAAAACTAACCTGAGAGCCAACAGTATTGTGACCCAAAGAGACAGAGTGGGGGAAAAAGACCTGTTGCCACTGTATCTGCAGGAGGCAGAAAAGAAGTGAACATGTGAAGGAATTATGCTTGGCCTCCAGATGGTAGGAAGTATCCTTCCCACTTTGCTTGCTGGAGAGAATCTAGAGATCATCCAACATGACCCTTCTCTAGTAAAGGCCTGGGCAGAGGTCTGATTCCCTCTACAGGGGACACATGAGGCCCCTGCTAAACAGAAGCCTGCTGATGTTAGGATGTCCTGTGAGAAGCTCTGACATCTTTCTGGGGCTCCAAGGATGACTTGGAGTGTATTTTACACAAGCTCCTCTTGATTCTATAGGCAGAATGGTTGAGGTCAGTACAGAGCCATGGATATGGAGGAGCTAGCACGCTAGACTAGAGAAATGATTCCACTGATCTCTGTCCCAAAGTACACAGGCTCTTGAAGGTCCCCATATTCTGACTGATTCCTTCCCATCTACAAGGAAATGAGCGATGAAGGGCAAGCTTTCTGTTGAGAAGGCATCAGTACTTGCACTAAGCATTTGCAACACACCGATAACTCTATCCCTAAAAGGTTTCCTGAGGAAAAGCCAAACCCATGGTTATACTTGGCATTGTAACCTACAGAGAGGGACTCATATAAAATTATTCACTACCTATTGCAAAGGAGTTCTCAGAGTTTGCTATTTTTGGCTCTGTATGTTATAATTGTAAAAGTTGAAAAGCAAATAAGACAAAAAAAAAAAAATAACAGGAAAGATAAGTCTCGGAGAAGAATCAAGACCTGGAAGTAGTGGGGCTGGGGCTGGGGCTCAGCGGTTGCCACTTGCCCGGCATGTGTGAGGCACTGGGTTCGATTCTCAGCACCACATGTAAATAGATAAAATAAAGGTCTATCAACAACTACAAAAAAAAAATTTTTTTTTTTAAAAAGGACCTAGAAGTAAACTGAAATCAGTTGAGATGTCATTCCTGATCTGGATTTTGCCTTGCTGCATGAGAAATTTAAGAAACCTGTCTAGCCTTGGGCCTAAAAGTCTATTTAGGGAGAAAATATCTCTGTACACACCTACATATGACCTGTACAGAACTTTTGGGGATGGACCCAAAAATAACTTATCCCATTCTTGTTCCTCTGATTTCTCTTGTCTGATTGCATTGGCTAGTATCTCCAAAACAAAATTGAATAGCAGTGGGGTTGGAGGGCATGCTTGCCTTGTTTTTTGCTTTCATGAAAATGCTCCTAATGTTTCCCCTTAAAGTAAGTTATTGACACTAAATCTATGTGTTCAAATTGCTCCAAAGACAAGAGCTGACTGGTGCCAGGGCTTGGAGAGGAGACAACTGGAGAGCCATCCTAACCTGCTGCACCAGAGCTCTCAGGTCTAAGTGACCTACTGGGCTTCTACATGAGATGTCTGGATCTAGAAGAAAGTCGACCACCCTCCACATGGAGGGGCAGCTCTGAGTAAGCCCTGTCCTGTGTCGCAGGCAGATCAGCCCGACCCCTGCATTCCCTCACGCTCATCCCTAGTTGGTCCATTTGCACCCAAGGACTTTTCAGGCCCAGCTGCCATTTCGATGACATAACAAGGTCCTCAAAGGAAACCACGGCAGACAAGGGAACAGGTTCTCCTCTTGGAGTTCCTGCAAATAAGAAAATGTGGACTCTTGGGAAGGGTTGTGGCTAAGTTTGAATAAAGCCAGTCTCACCCTCAGCTCTTGTGACATTTATGTCCTTAACCACAGAGAAGAGAAAGAGAAGGTAAGATCCGGGACACCCCATTGGCCTGACACACAGATCACTGGCATTCCTCGCTGAGCTTGCCAACACCTGGGCAGGCCAGAGGCCTTGGGATGAAGATTGCCCTTGATCTTGGCTTATCAAGAAATGGGAAGTGGGACGTGCCTTCCCTTCCCTAAGGCCATACTGCCAGAGTCTCAGGCTGTGTTGGCTGAGCTTCCCAGGTCTCTCACTGAGGTGCCCCCAGGGGAACAAAAGGGCCTCTGATGCCCACAGTCTGAAGGATCATGATTTCCAGGGTGGCTTGATATGGGCTCAGAGACAGGGCGTGGGTGAGGATGCGGTCTGAGCAGGTTTGTACCTGGCTCTTTGGGCTCTGTAACCCAAGATCAAGCACCTGAGGCTGGCCAGAGGTCAGCATGGATGGGTGAGAACCACAGGGCACTGAGCACAGCAATGAGACCCCTGAGGACAGGACACAGGGTTCCACCTTAGAGATCCTTGGAGATGCCTCTCAGCCTCAGGGACATGATCCGTGAGAGAGATGTCCACTCAGGCCTGAGGCCTTCTTCAGAAGGAGGGCTGATCACCCCATTCCAGGTACCCTCAGAAATGGACCCCTAGGTTCACGGGGGCCTGAGCCCACAGGGATCCCACGTGACAAACATTACCTTCTGCCGGGAGTGTCGTGGAGGGCCTCGAAGCAGCTGCAGAGGCAGAGAGGAGAGGACATTGGTCAGGTGCCGGCCCTCACTTCAGGAAGGGGGTCTTCTGCTTTCTCAGCCTTGGGAGCGGGGGCTGGAAGCTCGCATGCTGAGGCCCCCTCCTTTGCGAAAAGGCTGCATATTTTTCCTTGCGAAACCCAACACCCATCTGTCACTTGGTCACCCAGGATGCCCCTACAAGCATTTTTTGCTCTTGTCACCACCCTCTCCCTCCTCTGCTTCCAGTCTCCACCAGTTCAGACGTCAAACCTGAAATGACACCCTCAAATGATAACTATTTGCCATCACTCAGATATTCCTGAAAAGGTGACCCCACCCAGGGAGAAAGGCAGTTTCCAGAGTCGTATTCTGGGCAACACTCCCTCAGGGCAACTGTTCTTAGGTGGGGTCACAGTGACACCCTGCAGAGCTGGACTGCACAGTCCAGACCACATGGTAAGTGCCAATGGACAGTCTGATAGAAACCCCTCTTCTGGGGGACACAATAGACCAGCATCCCTGAGCCTTCTTGTGCAGTAAGACCCCTTGGTGTTTGACAGGTTCCAGCACCGTGTGAACCAGGAGATGCAGCCCGGGATGTGCTGGGCTGGGTCAGGGTCTCCGTTTTCCACCCATGGTGTGAGCATCCTTGTGTTAGCATTTAATTCCCAGTAAATAGAACATATTGGCCAAACCTTGATGTGATTTTAGTTCACATTTAAGTAGTAAGGACCAGCGGCTGGCCCATCCTTCCCCACCTTTAGAGGAAGGGAAACTGCCACTTAGGCTGGTGATGGTCATGCTGCTCCTCATCAGAGCCAGTCCACTGTGGGGTGGCATCAGCAAGCTCTGAGGCTGAAGCTGGCCTCCATCACTTCCCAGCTGTGGACAATAGGCGGGTCCCTTGATCCCTCTGACCTCAGGGTCTTTGTGAAAGGGATAGTAGTTCAGATCCTTTACCACCAAATAAGGAACCACTGACGGCAGAGCAGGTAACTGCCAAGTGTACGCACACACGTGCACACACACGCATGCAAGCCCGCCCACACGCGTGCACACGCGCACAGGGGCTAGGCCTTGGGGTGGCTGCGGTGCGCTGATAGTTGCTCTACCTGAGCACACGACTCCCGCGTCTTCCCTGTGGCCACACTCGTGGTTGTACCACCCATCATGGCGGCAGCTTGACAGGTAGAGCTCCCCTCCTGAGCAGTACACGGCGCCCAGGAGAATGTTCCCCGAGCCCTGACCAAAGTGAGCCCCGCCCAGGGCTGACACGGAATGGCCACAGCCGAGCTGCCGACAGACGACATCTGCATCCTGGGTGTCCCAGCTGTCGTCACAAACAGTGCCCCAGTAGCCTTGGTACAGGACCTCCACCCGGCCCTGGCACCGGTCACCGCCATTCACCAGCCTCACAGGTAAACCTGCATCAACACAGCGGGAAGCCCGGGTCTTGGCGCTCTCTGCCCCCTGCCTTACGCCACCTAGCGCTCCCTTTTCTCATTCTTAGAGCACCTTGTGCTGTCCCCATCACTGATTCTCCCCCTCAGGACCTTAAATGTCACTGTCTTTGCCGTCCTCCCTCTTTCCCCCTGGAGATCCTCATGTCCTCTGAGAACTCCCCACACAGAGGACCCTCCAAAGCCACCACTCAGGTCCTACCCAGCCCTGACAGTCCCAGCCCTGAACTCCACACCAAAATTTCAGTGGCCTCTAGGATGTCCCATCTCCATCCCACTCTCCCAAACCCAGCAGGGTCTCTTTCCTCCCCTTGGATTGACAGTGCTGTCTCACGGCAGCAGCTGGGCTGGAATTCTGACGTTACACCCGATTCCTGCTCCTCTTCAGCTCCACTCCACTGAGCACCCAGGCCCCTTTCTCTTTCCCTCCCACACCCATCACTGGGTTAGACCTTCACCCTCTTGAACCTGGCCTTCTCCAGGGATCCAGGTGATCTCTCTCTGCTCCTCCCTCTCTCAGGCACCACATTCAGACCCAACAGAGCTCACTCTGCCCTCTGTACCCAGAGGACTCATCTGTCTCCACTGAAGGCCCCCGGGTTGAACCTTTGCAAAGAGCAGACATGTCCAAGCCATTTCCCTGCTCACACTGCTTCAACTTACTCTCCACCACCCCCAGGGTCAAGCTCAAGATAGCATGTGTCGGGAGCAGGCCTCGCCCAACCCTTCAGCCTCCTCTCCCACAGTAACGACGACCACCACGGCTGGGGAATCCACAGGCACCCTGCTCCTGCGGCACGATGCCTGCAAATCACCCTCAGTGGAAAGCCACGCTGATGTAGTCAAGGGAATACACAGCGGGTCCTGAGGGATCTCGGCCAACATCTGACATCAGCAGCTAGATCCTGACTGTGGCTCTTCCGTGGTCATCTGAGGTTCTGAGAAATCTGTGACAGGTTGAAATGAGGTGCACGGTAAGGGGAAAGGTGGTTGCTTTCGTTTGGCAGGCGATGTTCAGAGAACAAGGGAAGAAAGGCCAATTGGACTGTTTCCTGGGTGTTCCCGAGGTGTTTTCTGGGCCTGTTCACCCCTTTTATGACCACCCCTTCTGGCACTCCTGGGATGATGTGTTCCTGTCTCAGCCTGGCCCTACTCAGGTCAGTCAAAAAGCGGCCTCTCAAGTCGACTCCCAGTTCACGCTTGCAAATTTCAAGGCATGACTTAGAAAGGGGGATAGCTCAAGAGTTCCAGGGATCATTGGTCCTAGATGACCCTAACACATCAAAACTCGGTCACAAAGGTCTGTACACGTCAATGCAGAAAGTGTGTGCATGTAGGGGGCTCACTTAACAAGAGCCACAGACAGGGTTCCAGTTCCGGGTTCAAATCTCTGCCCTGCCACTCACCAGCCATGTGACTTTAAACTTACAAGTATTGGCAAATTACCCCAAAATTCCCTAGTTTTCATATCTGAAAAATAAGCATAACGATACTTACCTCAAGTGTTGGGAAGATTTCATTTACTATATGCATTATGTGAGCACTTACTTTGTGACAGGTAGTCATATACTTGTTATATAGTAACTCATTTAATGTATGAAAACCATTTTGTGCTAGGGACATAACAAGTGCCTCACAGAGGTCAATTGTCTTTGAGATAATGGCTCTTATTGTACAGAAGGAGACGCCCTGGCTGTTCTCAAGTCTCTTCTGACACTAGGCTGAAGCTAGGTTTATCCAACAAATAGTTGAGAGAAAAGAAGGAAGGAAAATGACAGACGAGATTAACTGTGCATCTGGGACATGGCCAGGGACTTGGCATCCACAACACTTGTCCCCACTCCATCCCTGGGCATTTGTTCTGCGGTCCTGACTAGCCAATGGCAGCAGCAGTAGAGCTGACCATCCCAGGCAATAACCAAAACTGTGGAAAGAAGAGTAAAGAGAGGAAAGGTCTTGCCAGGTGCGGTGGCACATGCCTGTAATCCCAGTGGCTTGGGAGGCTGAGTCAGGAGGATCGAGAGTTCAAAGCCAGCCTTAGCCACAGCAAGACGCTTAGCAACTCAGTGAGACCCTGTGTCTAAATAAAACATAAAATAGAGCTAGGCATGTGGCTCAGTGGTTGAGTGTCCCCGAGTTCAACCCCAGGGACAGAGAGAGAGAGAGAGAGATTAGGTCTTACCATACTCTGTAGTCATCAGGTACCGTTGATCTGGAAAGAAACCAAAGGTGTCTTAGAAAAGGGTCCCACCATTTGGAAGTCATTTCTGTGATCTACAGCTTTGCCTCACAATCCTGCCAGGGGGCGCTGTGGTCCAATCTTGCGAGTGTGCCTCCGGCATTCTTAGTAAACGTGTTTGTACAACACATGAAGGAAGTGGGTTGGAGATGAGGCACTCAATAGTTTCAGATAAAATGAACAAAAATAGCTAGCAATTAAAATATCTACACATACACACTGCCACTTTCCTTAGAAATTCTTAGCAAAGTAATGCTTCGATAACCACCTTGAGTATACCAAAGTCTCATTCTAGCCAAGCAGGAGGGTTTCCCAAAGTGTGGTGGGCAGACTAGCCTTAGGTACGGGTCTGCAGAATTGCAGGTTCCTGAGCCCCACCTCAGGCCTCCAAATCAAGTTCTCTCAAGGGAAGGAGTTGAATGCAAAGACCTGCATTTATGTAATTATTCTACCTGATTCTTGTGTGCCCTGAAATTTGAGGCAGAGGCAAAGCAAAATTGAAGAACATAACTGCATCCCACGAGGTCCTTTTATGCTATGGCTGAAGGAGGTCTCTATTGCCTCTGCGTTTCTGTAGGACCAAATCACACCTTTAGTGAGGTGACTTTTATTTGAAAGACAAAAATAGGTAAATAGGGTGGAAAACACTACCATCTAATATAGAACATTCTTTTCAAAGTACTTACCAGGTGTCACAACATCTGATTCTGTACCTGTAATGAAACAAAAGAAAACTGAGATGTGTTTGTGTTTCACCCACAGGGACCCTGAACAACGCCTCCTGTGAAGCCATACAGTTGACTCTGAAGCAGAGACAGCAACTGGCACAATGGTCAGCTGACATCAGGGTCCAGCACGTTGACCTGAGCAGGTGTGTTAGACAACTCTGCTCTCTCCCCCGCCCAAAGCCAAGTTAAGGCAAAGAGGGTCCATTTTAATTCGTCGTAAAGACAGAACCCTCTGAAAGAGCGGAATGTACCCCTGGGTTCCGCTTCCACAAATTCAACAGAGTGGATCAAACACGCTTGGGGGAAAGTGCATCTGTACTGAGAACGCAAAGGCTTTTTTCCTTGTTGTTATTCCCTGAACAGTATAGGGTGACAACTATTTATAAGCGTTTATACTGAACACAGTACGTAGTCACCTAGAGGTGGTTCACGGTGTGCGGGAGGAGGGGTAGGTCAGGAACAAATACTGCAAATCTTGGGTAAGGGAATCGAGCAGCTGGGGATTTTGGTATTTCAAAGCAGGAGGCATAAAGTTGGGGGGTCCCGGGCACGCCCTGCCAAGGCCTGGCACTGGAGCATTCAGCCAGGCACCCTGTTAGGAGCTGGGCTAGGCACTGAGTGGGCAAGGCATGGTCCCAATCCTCCAGGGACTTCCTGCATAGCACCATCCCTAGAAACATCTTGTCTAGTGCAAGAAGCACTGCCAGCCAAGATGCTGTGGGAGGATGTGGGTGGCACCCAGGTGCCCATGGACCCATTGCTGTGTTTTTATCCATGTGGCCCAACCCTGTTTGTTGCTTGTACCCCTGTGTCTGTACGTCTGTGTGTGTAAGCATGTATGTGAGATGCTTTGTGAGTGTGAGATATACGTGAGTGTGTGTATGTGTCTGCTTGTGTGCCTGTGTGTATCGTTGTGTGTCTATTATCTGTGATGTGAAGTTGTGTCTGTGTGTCCACAGATGTATCTGTTTGTAGGTGAGAGTGTGTGTACAAATGATTTTGTCTGTGTGTCTGTCTTCATGTGTGCAGCTTATTTCAGGGAAAGACAAGGTCTGTGGCCTGAAAAAGAGAAGTTAGATGTAGCCTGGTGGGGCGTGGAGGAGAGGAGGGCAAGACTGAGACTGCTCAGGTGCTGACAGCAGCCAGCGGGGAGGCCGTGGCTGGAGGCCCGCTGGCTGGAGGCCGAGGGTTAGAGTGTGGGAGGCGGCAGTGGGGTGTTAGTGGTGGGAGAGAGCAGCAGCAAACTGTCCAGAAAAACAAGAAGGTGGAGGCAGAAAACAGCAGGAACCTGTGGGGGACCGACCCACGGTGTTGGCAAGCCGGGCGTGAGGACCTGAAAATCCACAGAAGACTGTGGGGTCCAGGATCCTGGGCACCAGGCTGCTGCGCTTGCTCTGGACCCCAAGGTGAAGCCTCGGGCTTTGTTCTCATTCGGCAGCATTTGGCAGCTGCAGCGGCTGAGTTTCGTCACACCTGGTGGTGTGTTTGCACATTTAAGAAGATTAAAGAACTGTACCGAAGAGTGACTAGACTGGACCGTTATTTAAGTGACTCAAAAGTCCCCCATCCAAACGTCACCTATGTTAAAAATATCTTCACAGCGCCTGGAGGTCTCTCCACTAGATCTCCCGTCTTTTTAAGGCACTAGTAAGGGCTGTGATCCAGCCGCAGTGCAGAAAGGCCGAGTGGGAAGGTGACTGCCAGGAACGCGCTTAGGAGCAGAGACTACCTTCTTGTTTTGCAAAGCATTGGACTGGAAGAGAGGGGACTAAAGGAAGTGAAGGCAAAAATGTCTGGACAAATTCAAGACTTAAAGACAAATGGCAAAGGTACTACGGAGAGTCCCATGTGGCCCAACCCCCTCGATGACATCTCAAGTTCACAGCTCCCCGCGCTGCACACGTCCACCGACGACACTGCAGACCTTACTTGGGTCCCTCCAGTTTCCTTTTCCAGGAGCCAATCCAAGACCCACATTGCATGTTGGAAATTACATTTGGATAAAATGTCAGGACCGCTGACCGACATGGTCTGTGGCTGCCCCTATGTGCCAGACCCTGCCGGGGCCCCTCATTCCTCACACCCTGTGTAGAACAGGAACATAACCCCACCTACAAATGAGGAAGCTGAGGCTAGCAGCGGCCCCACACAGGTCAGTGACAGAGTCAAGGACATCACTGGGACCAACACTGGGGGCCACGGCCACTTCCACCCAGCCCAAGCCTCCGTACCCTGCCTGTTCTTCAAGAGTTTGTGCAGAGACAGAGCTGAGAAGGGGACGTGCCTTGGCAGGGCCCCAGGGCTGAGCAGAGGCCCCTGTTCATCTCTGCTCCCTACAAGGAGCAGTGAGGGCTGTGGCCACACTGCTGCCCAAAGGCTAGCAGACCTGGCTCAGGTTCACACCCTGGCCCCATCTCCTACCAGCTGCGGCCCTTGGACAAGCCACATAACCTTTCTGAGCCTCAGTTTCCCTGTTTGAAGTGTGGAGATAATGGCATCAACTTTGTGGTGGTTAGCAGGGTGAAATTGGAGAAGCAAGACACCCTTGGTAGAGGGTGACTCCCGCCTCTGCACACAAGCACGGGCACGCACTGTGGATGGATGATGACCAGTTCCCCCCTGTCCCTGAGCACTGCTGCCTTTTGTCCCTTTTTAGATAAGGATGGGGCACCTGGCTCCCTGTCCTCCAGGGCTGACTGACTCCATGCCTCCATTCAGAGCCAGTGCAACTCTGTCCCCATGAAGTCAGGGACTGAGGCCCAGCCTCCCATTTTCTTATGTGATCAAAGGAGACACCCCAAGGCAGGACCTGAGGCCTCCTGACAAGAGGGGACAGTGGCTGTCCCCAGTCAGTTGCCCACCACATGTGCACACTCACCACACCTTGTGGGCCCTGAGGCCTTGACTTTGGGGTGCTGCTTTCACGAATGCCATCTCCCAAATGAACCTTCAGCTTCAGAGCTCCCCCCACCAAGCCTGGGCTGGCCAGAGTTCTGGGTTATCTGTGATCTTTACGTCGCCTCCTGGAATCCATGAATCCGGCAAATTCATCGAAGGAAAGAGAATGGGAGGGGGATAGAAGAGGAGGAGGAGGAAGAGATGAAGGAAGAAAGAGGGAGGGGCAGAGGAAGAGAGGTAAGGAGATGAGGTGCCAGAGGTTAGAGAGAGAGGGGAAAGAGGAAGAGAGGCCAGTCAGACTGACAGGGGGACAGAGGAAAGAGAGGCAGGAAGACAGCAAGCAGACAGGTGTCGGTTCTTGCTCTCACAGCATCTCCGCAAAATGACACCGAGATTCAACCATCACCATGACCGGCCGGTGGCCCTGTCGATCATCTGACACTCTGAGACTCAAAGTTGTGCTCAAGTAGCTGGGCTTCAGCCCGGCTGTTTGAGCAGCTGGTGGTCGACACAGCCTTGGAACCTTGGCAGATCATTCCTTGACCCGATTTGGCTCAGCTGATACAGGTCATCACACCTGACGCACCCGCAAAGAGAAGTCACACAGGAGCATCTCCAGGAGAATCTTTCCTGCCTGTTTTCATTGCATACAAACTGTTTACCCCATGTGGTGAAGCTTTAGGGCCTCTTACTCTCTCTCTCTCTCTCTCTCTCTCTCTCTCTCTCTCTCTCACACACACACACACACACACACACACACACCCCTTTCCTAAACTTTAGGGACTTTCCTAAGCTCAACCAGTCACTTCCCCATCAAAAAACTCACTGAAAACATTAACATATGATTGGCATTTTCTAACTACAACAACCATTTGAATTTCCTAACCACAAACAAAACAAAAAAGAAGCATTCCTCCTAAACACTGGCAAATGTTGACTATGATCATCAAAGAGCCACCTTCTCCCCAGTACAAAAATCCCCAAGGGATGAAGTCCCTTGATCTACTAAAAGAGTAGATCTGACTTGGCAGGATTTGGGGTTGCAAGAGTACAATCAAAGAACATAACAATTAAACAGAATACCTGCAGATAGAACTGGACCCCACAAAAGACAAAGTTGGAGGATGACAGTGAAGATCCCCATTTTGCTGGGTCCCTCTCAACTTGAATGGAAATTCCTTGATATTTATAGGTTCCTGGATGAATGAGGCGTGTCCCCCAGGTGGTATATTTCTATGGCTACCATAAATCAATGTGAAGGAGGGACAGGACTTTGTTAAGTCAGTGGCTAATCTGTAGGAACAATTGAGGTGTGTTTGATTGATTGCCGTATGAACAACCTGGCCCCGGCCCAGCCAACGGCAAAAGCTCTGACATTAGAGATACCAATTCCAACTTCCTTCTAGGTGAGCCTCGAAGACTCCCAAGTGCTCCCTGAAAACGAGCTGGATTTTCATCTTGGAGAGTTTGAATTAACCTGTGGGAAGCAGGATGTGGGTTGCTGGGCAAATAAGGGACACGGTGCCAAGGGGCAAAGCATCTCTTTGGGATGACAGGTCCTGGCAGGACCTTCTCTGGTTGCCCTTGTGTGCATACCCTAGGCTCAGAGGAAAGAGATGACATTTTTGATGACCTGACTGGAGAGTAGGAGGCATGAAGGGTCATTCTACAGAGACCATGGGCCCATTCTGGCTTCGGCCACCACCTTCTAGGTCTCACGGTAATTCCATCACACAGGGGCTGAGAAACACATGACCTCACACTGAACCACCTCCAAACATTTCACACGGCTTTGATTTCTTGCTCTTGGCATTCACACTGTGTGACGCTAGGAGCCTCAAAAACTCACAAAACCTGCCTCCAAGCTTTGCTGCCTTGCACACAATCCCTCTCCTTGGGGTTGGTGATGTCAATACCACCTCACTTTGCAAGATCCCCCAGTCTGCACCCCCAGTCTCTGACAATCCCCAGCCATCTATCAAGAAGATTGCTTTCATTGCATTTGTATTGAGACACACTCTATGGGTGAGGAGTCCCAAGGGAGAAGCAGCTGGCTTTGCAGGGTCATCTATTACACCATGAGGATGAGCAAGGCCCTCCCTGGCAGAAGGACCTTGACTTCTCGCCATGTGCTATCAATCCCTAGTCTCCATGTTACATTCTAGAAGGATATCTTGAACCCAGGTTTATGTCAGCCACCATCTGGATTCAGGACTGGACATCTGCCTCTGGCTGCATCCAGATAAAAGTCACAAAGCACATCTCTGCAAGGCAGGCCCACAGTGTTTTCTTCTCCTGCTGTCCGTATGACAGTTGAAAAGTATCAGGTGACAGGAGAATAGGGAGCACACGTGCTAGGGAGCCTAAGACTAATCCTGGAGTACTGAGCTGACCATGATTCTGAAGTCGGGTTTGGGATCATCAAAGAAGAGTGCGGTGATAGGTTAGCAATGTGTGCCTGACAGCAGGAAGTGGTGGAGGACTCCTTCCCACACAGAGGCAAGGGCCTGGTCTGAGACCTGGATCAGATGGTACACTCGCACACGTTGCTATGGAGACCTACAGAAAAGCATCTAGCCAGATGGCAGAGGCAGTCTCAGAGAGGTGGTGCCTAAGCCGAGATGCCAAAGGCAAGCAGGTCAGCCAGCGACTGAGACTGAGAAGACTCGCGGAGCACAGGAGGGACTTTCCAGGGCTGTGTGGGAATGAGAGCAGAGGCTTCCCAGTCAGTTGGTCCCGAGGCCACGGAGAGTCATCAAGCTCTTGGATCACCTGAGCATCCCCCTTGGATGATTTTCCCAACTGCATGGCTTGGGAAGCCCATTTTTGTTATTTTGGTGACCACCTCTTTTCTCCGTGGTGGTCAGCAGTAAAATCCCAAGACAGGGGTTGGGAACTTCTTGTTCAGGGAACCCCAGGGAGAAGGAAGTGGAGAGAGCCTAGCTGTCCTTTCAAAGCCAGCCCAGGTAGGTGTTCTAAGTGGGAAATGGGTGCCATCAGTGGGTCAGAAAGGATGGGTGGTCCTGGGCATGCAGGGCAAACACAATTGGACCGCTGCCACCTGCCACCACATGGTGCCTTGGGCTCATCACCAGGCACCCCTCCTGTCCCACTGCCCTTTAGTAAGGCTCTGTTAGAGAGGCCTCCTCTGTGTGGAGAGGAGAGCTCTGGGGAGCACAGCCCTTGGGCAGCAGCCCTCACCGCTGCCCCTCCCTCCTACTGCTCAGAGCATGTTTCAAGGCAGGTCAGACAGAGCCCCACAGCCCAGATTCCTCTTCACTGACACAGTGAACAGAAGGAAGCCGGGCATGGTGGCTCATGCCTGGAATCCCAGCAACTCAGGCTGAGGCAGCAGGATCACAAGTTCTAGGCCAGCCTCAGCAGCTCAGCGAGGCCCTGAGCAACTTAGCGAGGCCCTGTCTCAAAATAAAAAAAATTAAAAAAAAAAAAAAAACAGGGGCCTGGAGATGTGGCTCAAGTGGTAGCGCCCTCGCCTGGCATGCGTGCGGCCCAGGTTCGATCCTCAGCACCACATACAAACAAAGATGTTGTGCCCGCCGAAAACTGAAAAATAAATATTAAAAAAAAAAAATTCTCTCTCACTATCTCTCTCTCTGTCTCTCACTCTCTCTTTAAAAAAAAAAAAAAAACAGGGCTGGGAATGTGACTCAGTGGTTAAGCACCCTTGTGTTCAATAATCAATACCAAAAAGATAAATAAACAAAAGAGGACAACAGGAAGAAAGATTTTGAAGCACCTTCCCCAGTAACAGAGCCCAGTGACACAAGCACCAAGGCGAGGCCACTCCCTGGAATCCCAGTGGGAGGCCTTCAAGGGGAAGGGGCCATTCAGGGCTTCCCCCACCCTGAAGCTGGGCCATTCCGCTGCCCACCTCCCACCTGCCTGCTCAGGCAGCTCTTCTTTCTGTCTCTGCCACCCCGCTGCCCACAGGGTGGCCTGTGGGCAGAGTTAAGGTCCCTCCCCCTTCCCAAGGCAGGAGGCTGAGGCCCTCCTGGGGCTGCCTCTGTCCTATAGCTGAGCGGGGCTCCCGGCTGGGCTTGTCCTTTCCTAACGTGGCTTCTACCCACATGTGCTGAGAAGCTGGAGGGAGACCAAGAGGCAGCCAGGGCCCTCCCGCCTCCCTGGGGTCTCTGATTTCTGAGCCCAGGAGCCAGGAGACCTGACAGATGGGGCAGATGAGCTGAGGGAGTGAGAAGGACCAGGAGCCTCTATGGGGTGAGGAAGTGGCAGCTTGGGCTTCCAGCCACTGGAACCCAGAAGGCCCAGTGATGGAGGCCCCCCTTTAGGTGTCAGGCGGGGACCCCACAATCTCACGTTGCCCTGTGGAGCAGCACGCCATAGCTGTTAGCCACTGAGCCATCTTGGATCATGGACACAGCACCTACCGTGTCCCCCGGTTTGCAGTGAGCCCACCTTCCCCACCACACTACAAAGCTACCCGCCTCCTTCGCCCCACACACACCACCCCTGCCATGCTCAGAGGAGCCACAGGGTCTTGGGTCTCATTGTCCCTTGCTGCTCCCTGATGTCACAGCCCAGGTGGAGCAGGTGCTCTATAGGTAAGGGCTGTAAAGGGCTACCAAGAGCAGCTGGCCCCTGCTTTCAGGTCACCAACATGCAGCCCTCCACTGAGGACCTGAGGTCCTAAGGGAGAAAGTGACTGGAAGAGTGACACAGTGTCCATCTCCGCACTCTCTGTCGAAACCACTTCCCATCAGGATGAATGAGTTCAGTGCTCACCAGGATGCACCCCAGCCACAGACTTTCAGCAACAAACACAGCCCTCCAACAGCCCTTGAAAGAGAGAAGTCCGATAGCATCTGGGCCATCTTTTTCAGAGTAAGGCTGAAAGCCCTGGTGAGGGTTCATAAGGCCCCTGTGCAACCAGATCCCATGGGCTCTCTCCCTCCCCACTCTAGCAATAGTCAGCCTCAGGACCTTTGCACTTTCTTCTGCATCTACTTGGGAAACTCTTTCTCCAAATAGCTGCAGGCTTTTGTGCCTGCAGATTCTTTGCAATGCATCATGTCCCCATGCAATCATTTGTTAGAAATACCAAGATGCCACAAGAAATCAAATATGTGCTTGGAAGTGGGTCTGCCAGGCAAAACTATATTTCTGCAGAAGGGTGCGCCCCCAAAGGAAATCCAGTGAGCAAGCACACCTGGGTGGGCAGTCTGCCTGCTTTTATCCCTAAAGCATACTGTCCCTTGCTCAGCTAGGAGGAGTCAGGGGTTACAATCTATGCTAATTTAAAATTGGAGAGGACACAGGAAAAGGGACATACAAAACATGTTTGTGTATTAAATTATAGCTTTAATAGAAAAGAAAAACATTAATATCACAATTTCCCCCTCTTCTGTGATCAATATAAATTATTTTCTTCAAATTTGGAGATCTTCTGACAGTCTTGTTCAACTATATCTCATACAGGAAGACTATTTTGATATGAGATGGTAGTTTGATGACAGTAGTCTCTATCAGTTGTTGAATAACACCTCTCATTCATGGAATCTTGCACCATCTCGCTGTGGTCATGACTCCCGGTATAATAATGAATGCGGTAATGAATGGGATTATTGGTTCTTTCCAGTCACCAAACCATTGCTGCATTAGGTTAGTGAATGGGTGTAATTCCTGAGTTTTCTGCTGACACCATACTAAAGCCATTCTGTTCCCCATGCCATTGTACTAGGAGAATCTATTTGTTCTGCAATTCCCTTGAGAGCATCTCTGGTATCATTAATAATCCTTTGATGATCATGATAAATGTAATTAATTTATGTTTTTATTTATCGTAGACTATTAAAAGAGAATTGATTCAAAACCTGCTGCTGTCTGATTTCTGGCTTTGGGCTCATTAGGAACTCCTCGAGGGACTTCAGTGGAATCTACATAAATACAGGAGTCAAATGACTCACCTGGGGAAGAGAGTCCCCTTTTCCTCCCAGGGGACTGAGGTTGATTTGATCTGAGAAATGCCAGGGCGTAAGGTATAGCCAATTGAACCAAAGCACAGGTTCCCCTCCAATTGGCAGAGAAAGTCTCAGGTAATGGCCCTCCACAGTGCCAGCTCGGGCAATAGCAAGTGCTGTCGGATATCTCCACAAAGGGCCGGCTTCA